GGTAGCCCTCCGACAGTATCTGGCGGATTCTGACAATGTGCCACGCAGGCTCCGAGCTCCGTAAAAATATATGGCTCTTCTCGGTTAGCGAAGCCCCTAAGGATGTGGCAGAAGACGGCAAAGCAACATCGACGGACTCGTCTGAGAACGAGAAGGTTTTTTCAAAGGCAGTGCTTATTCCTCTTCCGAAGTGAGATTGAGTTCCTTCGTTAGCTCAAGTATCTAGTACGGGTCTGGTATCATTCAACATACCTGTCCAAGCAGTAAACACAATGGAAGACACGGCGACGCAGGTCCAGCTGCTCTGAGGCTGACTGAACATCCAAAGGCGGGTCCTGGTGTAGGCCTAGGTCGACTGCTACTCTAACAGCCATCCCTACCAGGTACCAGCTGCGAAAGTGTTGGGGGTCGAATAAGGAATATTGGGCAAGCAGTAGGATTGACTGGATACCGGCTATAGTACCGGGGCGGATGACGTCCTCGGCTTGATTCATTGCCATTGAAATATGAGATAACGCTCTGCGATGACTGGTATCACCGATCTTGAGGGAGAGAGACACAGACGCAGTGGCTAAGACCATATGCAAGATCCACTTGTCAAAAGGCTTGGCAAAGCGCCCCCCAGCCTGGTAGACCGCATCTACAGAGGTCCAGAAGCTCGTTTCGACGAAGAATGGAAGCTGTATGTAGATGTTGTCGAAATAATGTTGTAGTAAGTTCAGTATTTCATTGCGCGGCGGTAATGACTGCGCCGGTAGTCTTGGTATCGACTCGGCTTGTGACAGGGACAGAAGAAGGTTGGCGAAAGAAGTATTCGAAGTAATCCCATGGAAGTCTCTCGAAGTCGCATTGACGGACCTGATCAATGTTAGTCCCAGAAACACCAAGCCAATCTCAGCGACCACTCACAAGAAGCCAAAATCACCCACGAGGTCATCGATGTCAATGACTTCTTTGCCACCTTCCTGTGCGACAGCACCTGCTGAGGAAATAGATGTGATTGAACTCTGATGGGCGACACCCCTTTCATCCACCGATAATGATGATTTCAGGCGACGAAGATCTGCAATTTTCTTTTCCAGTCTTTCGCAGTAACCCTCCAAAGAGGCGACATAGCTTCTTTCCTTTCCTCTGGCAAATTCGTCACTTGCACCAGAGCAGGTGCTCGCTTTACCAACCCTTTCGCATGCGGAGCAGGCCGGAAGCTTCCCGTCACATTTGATTTTGGCCGTTCGACATCTTGAGCAAGCAGCCACAGGTCGACTGACTTTGAGGAGCGGTCTGTCCAAGAATGATGTACCCGACATGCTAATTATACATATTCTCTATATCGTACTAGAGAGGGAATGAATTATTCACCAGTCGAAAGGCTAGCTTTGAGTCGAGTCCTGCCCTGTCGGCCAAGCTGTTAAACTCGTGACAGCACAATATGAGCAGACCATAATAGGTACCTACCTTGTGGATAAAGAAGGAGGGATGAGCAGCACAAGTCGCTTTATTAAAAAGAAAAAGAGGCGCTCAGACGTTGATCTGTTCGGTTTCTATTAGCATGCAGGAAGAACTCAGTGGTGTTAAGCGAGAGCTCCTCGCATCGGATTTATCGCGCGTATTGCAGTCATCTAACTAATATACGACGGCAGGACAGTTGGGGAAAACAGAAGTTTTCATCTCCATGTTTCCTTCTTTTTTGACTTCTTCTTGGCTGGTGGCCCTGCCTAGGTATGTATATGGCTTTTAAGGACTAGAACTCAGAGGCAGATTACTCACCAGGCACTAGCGCTATCAAGTTAGCCCGGAACCTGGCGGGGGAGGCTGGCTGAACGGGCAAAGTAGCGAGAGGGGTTCAAACTGCCCCGAGTACAGAGAGGGCTGACGGGTGTTAAACTTTCCCAAGCAGTACAACCGTTGTGGGTATAGAGGTCGGAACAGAAGGAAAAAAACTAAAAAGAAAAAGTAAGAGACAAATCACCGTTAAGCGAAAGGTATCAATATTTCAGGAAATAGTAGTGCTGCTGCTACTAAGCCTAGACTGGGAGCAGATGAGCCAGTCGTAGAGGGTGGAAGGGAGGAAAAGACAAGTACCGCAGGCTCTGGTACGCAATTAGGGTCACGAGCTAGTGCAAAAGCAGGGGGGTGGAAGGAGGGGGGTTCGTACCGTACCCGTCAGCCCCGTATGCCTAGTAAGTACTAAAGTCAAGTAGAAAGTACCTTAGTCGTCGTCGTGGACTGTTTAGCGGGCCTTCCCCTATTAGCCTTCGTTCTCGTTGCTCACTGGTCGCCTTTATTATGAAATTGAATTGCGAGTGTTCAAACTGTACTAGCAGTTGATAGACTCGCAATATTGTTGACAAGTTGAGCACTACCAGTGGTTGAAAATTGAATGGTAAATCGGGAAGGGAGGGGTTGGCTGTGTCTTTTCTTATCAAAACACCCGCCCGGGCACCAAGCAGCAACCAGCACCACCAGCACCACCACGGACATCTGGCCCGAACGGTTTTGCTTGTGGACGGCTTACTGTCATTGGGTGCCACACAAACATTTCCCGGTCAAGGCTGGCTCCAAGGCTGGCTCCTGCTCACGCCCCTCCTTTCATTGCCCCCCAAGTGGTCCCCACCTCCCCCACGCGCAATGGGGGCTGGATTTTTTTTTTTCTCCCTACGCGACTTTCTTGGAAATAACTCGGGACGAGAGCTGTGCTTGATGAAGCAAGACCCAGCCTAGTATGCAGTTTTATATCTACCTTATCCGTTGTATCAGCTCCCACCCTACATTTTCCTTGTGAGGCGTCCGCTTGAGTGTTATGCATAATCTAGCGGGAAAGCTTCGGTCAGCCGGTGCTAGTACGGTGTCCGTATTAGTGATCTTCATGCTGCAACACCCGGCATTTGGCCGGGCCAGAACAGAAAATAGGACTACTACTAGTAGTATCTATTGTAGTGCCTACTTACTCCCCCTATCCCCCCCAAGAAAGGTGCTGATTGACTAGGGAGGTAGAAGAGAATGTCCACACTGACGTCTCGGAATTCGTGAAAGGGATACGTAGTTCAGATTTTTATGAGCTCGTCAGTGTCATGATATGTCGCAACAGAAGGTCTATCTGTAGCAATAACTGCCGATGTCGCAGTGGCTGGAATTATGCAACCAGAATCCTTGCATGAAATTTTGTTGCTCGGGGCGCTAAACTAAATTTTACACCCTCTGTTGTCCGCTCATAGACGTTGTAAGCCAGTCAATCTCCCATCAGAGTGTGGTGTATTAGTTGCGAAATGCTAACCCTAGTATTTCTATCCTTACCATATTCATTGGAATTGAAGAGCAGTCTAGTCAATACGAGGTTGTAGGTCTTCGAAGTCCTCATTCAGAAAATCAATCATGCTGGTAGTGACTACTAACTAGTAGTTGATCAACGCAAATTACTAGCAGAAGTTCTAACTCATTAGAGGCATTTGCAGACACCCGCCCGTGCTTACCCATATACCCTTTTGGGATAGCTTTCCGAAGCTTGGATCAGATGAACCAACAAACCGGTTCCGACCATGGCGTTAAGATCCTCTTCGCCTCTTTCTTCATTTTCGCGACTCTGCATCCATGGCATGTTAATCTTGAAGGCCATCTACTTATCCCCCCAAAGGGGGCTAGACTCTCTGGAATTTAATCCCGCGGGATTCCTCTTGAGGCTCCCCATAATATGTTGGTAGACTTGTCGGCTCTGGTCCGAACTACAACTACGCAAAGAGTGTTGACGAGTTGACTTGCCAAGGGCTTACTATTGCTGAGAATTTATAACTGACAAAGAAAAGGCAGAATTTACTCCGTAGTACTTATGTCATGGCAGTAAGTAGTATCGATACCATGTACGACCAAAGCAGGCAACCAATCGATGTAAGGCTTACTATCTTGAGAGTGTGATGGCTATCTCTTCAATACTTACCTCATCCACACTATTCATTTTTGTGCGTACTCGAAGAGCGCAGCTCATCTAGTTTAATGCTAACTTCAAGGCGGCTCCTACAATGTTACCTCCTACAGATTCACCTTCGAAGAGGACTGAAGCTAACTAGTTGATAGTACTAGATAGGTAGTACTAGTAAGTAATTTACTACTGCCCCCTTCCCAATTTATTAGAGTAACCCCAGTAGTAATTGATACTAGATCATCCGCCACCGTAGATCCCCGAGAAAGGTTATGCATACTTTTTTTTTACTTATGTGCTAGGTCATCAGTATATGTATCCTCGTGTCCGTGAAACTTCCGACCTACTATAAGCTCTCTCCCTCTCTTTTTTTCACAGCCACCGGAAATTCAAAATAACCTGACTGACTGATCGGATCACGAAGCCAATATTTCCATTTAGAAAATTGTCCGGTACGGAGAGAGGGGGGGAGGGGAGAGGCCCACCGGGGGTGAATTTGTCCCACCCGTCAATTTCGAGGCCAGTGTTCGCAAGGGGCAGCTGTGGGTGGCCGTAGTCCTGGTAAGTGCGACGTCGGTCATCGGGGCGCTCTTTAGCGTGCCGTCGATCCAGGCGGGAGGTGGACCGAGGCCTGCTTCCCTTCAGTTTCCACCTCACCCCCTCCTTTGCGCCCCATTTCAAATTCGCAACTGCATATCTTGTGTTTCTTGCCAATGTTTGAACGGGTACCGTGAGTCGGAATTCGTGTGAGGTGCTAGCTGAGCTCTTCAACCTGTACAACCCCCCCCCCCCCCCCCCCCCCCCCCCCCCCCGCCCCTAGATCTGTGCAGGTATTGCCCGCCTACTCCTAGCAGCTGGTGCATGTCAGAGCGAACCCTGAACATGTCGAACGTGCTCGTTCCTCAAGTGCCCCTTCAAATTTCCACAGTCGCGTGTGCCTGACGCTCGGATCAGACCTCTCAAAAGCTTCCCATTCTTTTTTAAGGATTTATGCGATACATAGAATGCAACGTTGATGATTCTTTCGGCTAAACTTGCAAACCTTCGGTCAACCTAATATAGGGGTGCTCCTGCACGACATACCACAATGGCCACACATTTAAACTCTTCAAGCTCCCGCCCACAATTCACCAACCCCTGGTCAGACTCTCCATCAACAATATCAGAGCCGTCTGTTCATACCCCTGATAGCCGGATTGCACATACGTTGACTGCTTGTACGCGGTGCAGACATGTACGTAGTGTCTCCTACTCTATCGCTGACTTTGTTTATACGTGATTTCGCGTTCTCTACCATGTACTCCTTGATTTATTTCCTCGCTGGCTGGAGAAAAAGACTCTAACTCTTATACAGCGTAAATCTAGGTGTGATCCCGGAATCCCTCGATGCTCACCATGCGAACGCGTCAACGCCAAGTGTGTCTTTTACGATTCGGCGTCTCAAAGGACATTATCAAGGGATCATATTGTCTCACTCCGAGAAAAAGCTCGTCGGTTAGAGAGCGAGCTTGCTGAAGTCGAGAGACAGTTTCAGCATGCAGCGGACGCGGAGCTTATGGTGCGCGGGGCAGGGCGCATTCGCTTCAAGGAGAATGACGAGTCGAGATATCTGGGACCTTCCAGCGGTATTGCGATCACGCGCCTCGTCATGGAACTGGCCAAGCAAAATACAGATTCCAAAAGCATCAAAGACGTCGTTCCTGAAATGACAGCGCAGGAGATAAAAGATGCCTTTGCACAAGAGAGCTCCAAGCCAACGTCAAAGGTGTATCCCATGATCAGTTCGACGCCGCAGCCTGCTTTACCGCCAAGGCACATAACGTACAGACTTATAGATGTCTTTGTAGTCAAGGGTACGTTCGCATTCTATCCTATGCAGCTGGACAGTCATGGTTGACTTGCCGTTTAGCCCAGGCAATGCTTCCGACCTTGCACGAGCCTACCTTCCGCGAAGAAGCCGAAGAGGTGCTTAACGGGTCTAATGATCCCTGCCATAATTTTCAATTACGCATGGTGATAGCCATCAGCATGCAAAAGATGAGCACTGTTTACGCAGGCCTGGCGGACAGTTATTACCTTGCGGCGCTGCCATACTTGGAACCGTCGTTAAAACGAATGGACCTTCGATCTTTGCAATGCCTTGCCCTGATTGCTCAATACTCCATGCTCACGCCAACAAGGACAGCGGCATATTGGGTCGTAGGAATGGCAGTCAAGCTATGTCAAGACTTAGGGCTTACCGATGAAGCGACCATTACTCAATCCCCCAGCGGGCAGACCTTGGACCCTCTCGAGATTGATATGCGAAGAAGACTTTTCTGGATTGTCATATCCATGGAGTACGGTCTTTCCCATAGCCTTGGTCGCCCAAATTGCTACTCCGTTTGTCACGATCACATCAACGTCAAGTTCTTCGAGCCGGTGGAGGACAAGTATATCACTGCGGATGGCTTCCTACCAGGAGCGAAAATAATCCTACCCAAGTGCATAGCTATTCACTTCCTGAAGATGCGGCTGCTCCAAGCAGAGATTCGACGGACGCTCTACCTGAATAAGCGCGATGTACCAGTCGACGACCAAGACCCATGGTTTTCGCAAATGCTTCAGAAGATCGATTACTGGGTAGCTTCGTGTCCCAAAAATGATGGGGGTAGTGGCTTGAGTCAAAAATGGTAAGGACAATTCCCGAATAGCTTTCTTTGTTTCTGAGTGCTTATCTATATGTGGCTTTCCATAGGTTTCATGGAAGACGAAACACGATGATTGTCTTTATGTTTCGGCCTTCTCCCCAAGTGCCGGAGCCTTCCGTTGAGGCTGCGCGAAAATGCTATGATGCGTCCGTATTCAACGTAGCAATGCAGAGAGAACAAATCGCAACAGGATCCGTTGATTTGACATGGATTTTCACCCAGTCACTTTTCATGGCCTTGAACACTATCCTTTGGTCTCTCTCTTATCCTGACATTCGCAGAGAACACCCTATTGACGAAGTCAAAGGTCACCTCGGCGTGGCCCTGGAGGCTATTGTTCTTGCTGCACAGAGATGGCCTGGTGTTGAATCGGCCCTGGTACTCTATAGGAGCCTGGTTGCTGCTTGCCTTCGCGCATATGCTACCGAAGAGTCTTTCGTCGTCCATTCGCCGTCTAATCATGCAACTCCGTCATCTTCGCAGGATGTCACGACACCGCTATCCGTCTCTAGCCCTGCAAGTACGTCGGCATCGTTCCCCTCACATGGAGCTCGTGCAGCGAATTCTTCAATCCCCGAAAGCAGCGTATCGGGTGGCACGTTTTCGAGGGGACCTTCTGCAGACCCCTCATTCTCCTTCTCCCAAGGGTCGACCTCATCACCTATTGCCACTGAATCACTGAAGGCCGCGCAGCACCCATCCTGGGATGCTCAAATCACTCCGCAATCCGTATCAACCACCACACAACCCTCATTCAGTTCCCCCCAATCCTACAATGTACCGACACCTTCCTACGCAGACTTATCGTTCGACCCGACAACTCCATACAATTCTTTCCCATCCGTCGTTCCGGGTTTGCCAGGCTGGGATCCCAATTTCAATTTAGCGTCCACGACGGCTAGTCATCTAGCCTATGTCGATGCGACGGTCGATCCCATGAACTGGATCGAGACGATAGGAGATCAATATTCCCAATACACCAATGGCGCTTACCCCATGCCCCCGTGGCGAGGAAGGACGCTCAGCCACCAGGAGCAGATGGAGCTGATGGAAACGTTAGAAGATAACATTCCTGACGTTTCGGCGCAGTTATTAGTGCAAGAATCTGCAACATTCTACCAATCGTGACATGTTGGTGGTTTTTGAAAGCTCTCTATGAGGGCGTCTCGCTCTTCTTGATTCGGTCATATCAGCGTGTTTCTTGAGCTTTGTACGGGCCATCTTCATCTGGTTTGTTTCTTCTTATTGTGTTACCATAATAATTTTGGATTTATGGATCTCAATATACCCAAGGGTCATCGTGTTGAGAATTTGATGAGGTTCATCTGGGTGTTTGGAGCGAGTCGGTTCCGATCACTAGTTCGGGATTCAAGGGTTCAATCATTGGTTTTGGTAGAAGAGTATAAGCCTATTTTATTTTGTCTTTAGGTGTTGACATGGCTTAGGGGTCAAAGAGTGGCCACAAGGCCCTCTCGCCTCAGGCAGGTCAACTGCATATTCTATAGATGGGTTTAAGTGTAGTTATGGTTCTAGAAGCAAGGAAATTTCCGGGTGAAACTATGCAATAACCCCAGCTAATACTTTCCGAGGGGCGGTGCTCTGCCACTATTTTCTCTCCTGGTTTAGACCAGCGCCCAACAGGGGGGTATGAGAGCCGCTAGTAAGGCGCTTTGTGCCCATGCGTGTCGTGGCATACATAGATCACATCCACGGGAAGAAATGTCTAGATGGCCAAACCTGCGATGGCCAACAGGGTGAATACGGTAAGTAGGTAGTTAGTTGACCTGGGCAAGAGAAAGACAGAAAGAGTAAGAGAAGAAAAAGAGGGAATGTCCGTTACCGATGCATACTCCGTATCTTACCCGACAATACGCCCGAGTATCGGTATTGTTAGCGCGTATTGATACCGAAATACGGGCGCGGAGGCCGAAAGAGGGAAGATCGAAGAAATGAGGGCGCGTCACGTGCCCATCCCGGGGCTCTTGCCGTCATCCAACATCTCGCCGTCCGTTTCTCCTCCAGTTGCGGACCAAGGGTTTCCCATCCCAGCGCTTTCTCGAACTTCTACCCACCCCGCCAGAATTCGACCTAACCCACAGACCACGCCATTCACTCTTTCGCTGGTCGTTTCTTCACTACCTGGTGCTGTTCGATATTTCACCTCAGTGCTGTGTCGCTTCATTGGAATGTGTGACTTTTAAGACGGTCGTGGAACGTCCTGCTCGCCCGCTTGAGCGCACCTCGACCGGCGTTTCCCCCCCATATCCTCGTCTTCATAATAGTCTGAATCTGCTGTGATCTGCTGCTGTGTTGAAGATCTTCGATTCAGGTCTCCCTTTCGCGAGGCTCGGGCTGCCCAGGCTTAGGCCAACCTCCTCTTTCGTCACCCTGCACTCCGTCCTCGATGTCTGATCGCGCCTCCTCGGCATCATTTCGAGTAGGACCTCCATCACCATCGTCTCCCGCCGCAGGGGCTCTCAAGCAGAACCAGTTGCCAGCTCCCTTGTCCGATCGAATTCCACAGACTCCGACATCACCTCCGTTGATGTCGGTAAGCGCCCAGAACTATGCCACCAACTTTGTATCCTCGCAAGCATCACCTAACCAGGCGACCTCTCAATCCGCAACTCTCTCATCACCCCCGTCTTCCGCTCCGATGTCCACTCAAGCCTCGCAACAACCGACGGTAGGTACGGCGAATTCGTTTCCGACGCCGGCCAGCAGCGTGAGCGGGCACTTCCCGGGTGCGACTTCCTTCGATGATTCTGAACATACAGATAAGCCAATGGGCTCGGCAGTTCCAGACGCAGGTGCGCAAGCAGCGAACATGAATGCCGCGGCCATACAGCAGGCGGAACACAGACGGACAGATCATGACCGGCATACAGAAGGTATAAATATGGAAGTTGGAGTCCGCGATTTCGCTGCGAACAACGGAGGCGACGCTATGGATATCGATAGCGAGGCGCCGGCTTCATCCAGTCGCAGTGAGCCAAGCTTGGAATCCCTGCAGAAGAACTTTTCGTCTGCTTTTCACGTTTGCAAAAGCTGTAAGAGCTCCCCAGTCCTTGGCATGGCTGTTGCCACAATTTGCAATGCACTCTCTCCCATCTCATTTTTGGATTGAGCTTTGTTAACACATGTGGCTTTATGAACGTACAGCCCATATTGCGACTGGACCGGATCCGTCGCTAGATCTCATCTCACTCTACGGATTAGGTCCAGTGGCAAAGTCTGTTGCTCGGATGGATCCTGTGACAGGCGAGAAGATCAACAGGCTCAGGAAATCCTATGAAGGAAAACTGAAGGGCTTGGGACTCGCAGGGAGGAACAAGCCAGTGAAGAATGAGCCTGGTGCGCCCGGCAGCCTTAGGCACATGACCATGTGGCCAGAGGAAGAATGGCAAAACCAGAAGGTGTTCGGGAAGGAGATCAAGGTAGCGGATATGGACTCCGCGCTGCAGAACTTGCAGATGAGGGCCATGAAAATGGAGCCGGGCACGGTACCGAACAACGAGTACTGGGAAGATGTGCTGGGCCACGAGAAGCCATCTAAGCACGCCGGTGGCGACGCCAGCAAAAAGGGCGTCGCACCCCCTCCCAATGGAGTCCGGATTTCCCAACCGAATGGAACCCCAGCGCCTGTTTCAGACCAAGAGCGAGCCCGGCCCAGCAGGGGACGTAAACGGCATTACGACGACAACAGCTTTGTTGGATACGGCGAAGGTTACGCAGACGACGATGACGATGGGGCATTTTATTCAAACAGTGAAGGCATGGGAAAGAAAAAACGGAAGAAGGTAGGGCGTTCGGACGGTGAAATGGCATTCTAACATACTGATCACATTCGCTTATTTTTCGAAAAGGACCACGTTTCGAAGATATCTACCCCTCTACCTGACCGAGGTGGAAGTTACGGGGTTGGTATGTTTGGGATCGGGGCCAGGTAAACGAACGGGACGGAAACCTGATGGGATGAAAAGCTTTGTGCTTGTTCGTTTCTTTTCTCTGCCTTCTTGGCTTTGCTTCATGCATAGGGTCCTTGTTCTAAAGGTGAGGGCTAGACTCTGTTGGATCTGTGTCTGGCATTGTGAGTTGCTGGACAGGTTCAGCAGACCCATGGTCATGTCCTTGCCATATCTGTTAATTCTCCGTACAAATTTTGCATCACGGTGCTGGATATACCCGGCTTTCACAATGGGACGGCGTTGGAGGAGCCATGATTTGTTGCGGCACGGTTTTTGCCTGTTTCTTTGCTTGCACTCTATTCTGCTATGTGCTTCCTGATTGACAGGGAGCTGGAGTTGTAATGACAATTTTTATTTCGCTGTGATTACTGCTGGCCATGTCGACAGACTCCGATGCCATCTTTTGAGCTTTTCTTCTCTCTTGTGCCAGATGGGCCATCGCCCGCCACTGGAAGAGCATGTATTTCTTTTTTCCGAGTCTGTTCATGTGCGGCGGATTGCTTGGGCGTGACAGTACAGGATTCTAGCTTAGCATCGACGATGCTTGTGTGATACAATAGATGGATAGGAATGACATCTACGTTAAGCGTGGGTAGTTCAGTCCCGTCATGGATAATAAATAAGAGCCGGAAGCATAGAAGCAAATCACTGCAGACACGATACCTTGACACCGACACAGCCCAGACACCCACCGTCACCCATATGTGCTCCTTACTACCAGTAGATACAAATGCATACTGTCTACCTAACACCTCCCTCTATACAAAGCAGAGAATTGCATCATAGAGAAGGAAGAAAAAAAAGGAATCACCCAAACCAGTACCCATTCAACTCCTCCAAAGTCCTCCCCCCAACATCCTCATGCCGATTCTCCTCCCATACTTTCCCTCCCTCACCAAACCGATTCGCCATATGACCCAGAAAGAAATCCAGATTCTCCCGACACTCAGGGAACGCCTCTTTGAAGGTATCATATAGCTCCTGCACGGAAGGTTTGCTGCTGCTACCGCTGTCAGAAGCATAGGCGACTTTCTCCGCAAACAGGCGTAGATAGCGTCTCGTGTGGTCTAGATCCGCCTTGACATCCAACTCCCATCCGTGTTCCATATGACCCGGGATAACCTTCAATGGGTGGAGGTGATCGATCATGTCGAGGGTTTTGAGCCATGCGTGTACGAGAGCGGGGGATTCGAGTTCTTCGACCCTATAGTATAGTATATGTTCATAAGTAGGTGTAAGGTTCAGAATGTAGATAGATAGATAGTATAAGCCAGCCAATAACTCTCATCCAGGATACCCGTTCCGAAACCTTATCCAACAACCTATGGATAACTGGAAGTTGAGTTCCGCCCACGAGAACTAATCCAAGAGTAAGGGAGGGTTAGGGGAAACAAACCAAACATGCACACTCCTCCCAAACACAACATCACCCGCAACCACCGTCCTACTTTCCGGAATCCAAAAGACCGTCTGATCCACACAATCACCCTGCACCGGACCCATCAGCACAACCGGACTCCCATCCAGCATGAAGAAGCTCGACAAGTACGGGTCCGGCTTGCGGGGCTTAGCGGGAACGGCGTCAGACCCGAGCACCGCCGGCCAGTATTTGACTTTCTGGTCGTATTCGGCGTTGATGCGGGAGCAGACGTAGGGGGCGGCGTAGAATTTGGCGTTGGGGAAGGCGGCTAGGATGGGGTTTGCGGAGAAGAAGTGGTCTGGGTGGTGGTGGGTGAGGAAGATGGCGGAGGGGGCGTGGGGAGTTAGGGATTTTATCCAGTGGATGGTGGATTCGGCGTCTTTGAGGAGGAAAGGGGGGTCGATGAGGAGGGATGCGTGGGGGGTGGTGAGGAGGGTGGTTATGGAGGAGAGGCCTTTGGGGGTGGTGGTGTGGTGGTGGGTTTGGATCATTGTTGGATGTAATTGGGGGTTTATTGAGGGTGTTGGTTGGAGGTATATTGGGGTGGATTTGGGGATGGGATGGGATGTGTGAGCTTTTGTATAGACTTGTACTGTATATGCAATGCTCTGGTCTGTTGGTCAATTATAGAGTGAGTGCTGGATTGTTGGATATATCCGTGATGGGATACACCCCCGCACGCAGTAGCAGTTGCATCATATTGATTTGGGGTGTTTATAGACCCTCTGTTGTTCGATGCCGAGGTTGATACGCCTGTCAAATCTGCCGATTGTTTGAAAGATGAAGATCAATCAATCCGTATTTCCGAATTGTAGTCGGAAGCTCCGGAAGCTGAATCTTGCAGCATATCCTGGCTCATCCGTGATATCAAGATCCGCAGTGGAAGCGGGGTTGACGTGATCAACCATACTATTATTGAACTTTGCCACATCTCTGGAATAGATTTAGTACCCACCTTGTGTATAACCCCGCAGTCATTAAGAGAGTCCGTGTGACACTGTTGGTATGAAGATGAAAGGTGAATTACGCAGTACGAAGTGTAGATTGAAGATGGTTGTAGAAGGTTGGCCGACTGATCCTATCCCGCTTTTCTGCACTAATGGATGGTGGCATCTTGACTTGCATTAATACTTGGCTCTCCGTCTCAGCGGTATACTTTGTTAATCAAAGGGGAGGTATCTATTTTAGCTCTTCTAGGACTGCATTATAGCCATGGAATATAGGCATAACATAGCAGCGGCCGGGAAGTAGGAGTAGTAGGGATGTTTGCTGTGGTAGCTACTGGGCTAGCTTCACACAATTTCTGATATTTGCATACAAGTCTCTTCATACTTCTGGCTAAACATTACACACATTTACCAGTGTGAGCTTCTCATTTGATCTAGAATTAGATGCTAGCGTTCACTCGAATTATTGACGCTGTTCTGCAAATCGGCACTGTTCTGATTAAGTGATGGAAGTGCCTTAACCGCTAGGCAATTTAGGTCTTGACTCTGGTATTAAACGGACCGAAATGTATGCTGCTAACAATATATTGTCCAGAAAGTACGTTTTAGGCTTTTCGATCTGATACTATTGATCAGTTCAAGACTCCTTTCACATACACTATCTTCGAGTATACTCGGAATAGTACAGGGGAAGTTTAGCACTGAGCTACAAGAGGTGTCTATAGAGTTTCATCCTACCGAGTTATGTGTGAACTCACAGCGTCTTCGGATCATGAAAATAAGCCAGGTTCTTATATCCTCTCTGCGAATAAAGATCGCTTCCAATTCAACTAGCTGACGCTAGATCTACCAAACATATGCATGCATCCAAAAGGGTAGGTTAAAGCTCAGAACCCAAAGCATCGGAACACAATTACACAAAGAAACAACATAACTACTCTATGCCCTAAGAAAGCCACATCTCCGCGGACTCTCCTCCAGCCCTGCATCTCCCACATATACTATACCTTAATAACTGAATATTAAACTCACCAAATCCCAACCCAACATGTGGGGTGTACTTCCTTATCGCTTATCAGCATCCCCCCACCCACCCTCACATACCCAGAAAAGAATTGGAACCCACCCAAATGCCGACCCGCCAGCCAATCCCGCAGCCGGTATTTGATGCAGTGCAGCACCGAACCGCAAGGCAACCCCGAGGTCGGAATCCAATAACTCGATAAATCATCACCTAAATACAGCGTTTCTCTACAGATTATTCCTGTACTATTCCAACCTTTCTACATTTTCAATACATACCTTGTATATATAACCATATATCCACTACAATCACAACTTACCCTCCCGATCCCATTGCCTACCATAATAAGAAGTCAAAATGGACCCCCTCACAACCGCCCTCACTCGAATCGACGCCCTCCACTCCGAAGATCCCACGAAAGTCTCCAACACCAACATCCCTTACGAACTACACTACGCCGAGAAAATGACCAGCTACCTATACAAACACACCCCGGACCCCTCCCCGACCCTCCAGCTCGCTATCCGCGCCCAGCACCTCAAGCGCTGGGAGGTACCCCGCAGTACTTACCCCGATGGTAAAGTAGGGTATTATTCCTGGCGGACGGCGGTGGCGCGTCGCCAGGCTGAGATAGCAGTGCAGGTGTGTCTGGAGAGTGGCATTGGCGAGGCGGAGGCGGAGCGCGTGGGCCGGTTGATTCGCAAGGAAGGGTTGAAGGGAGGGGAGGATGCGGAGGCGCAGATTTTGGAGGATGTGGCGTGTTTGGTGTTTTTGGATGATCAATTTGAAAAGTTCAAAGAAAACTATGAGAGGAAGAAGGTGGTGGAGATCTTGAGAAAGACCTGGGGAAAGATGTCGGAACGGGGGAGGGGTTTGGCATTGGAGTTGCAGATGGGGGATGAGGCAAATGACTTGGTCAAGGAGGCTTTGATGGGTTAGATTCCGGTCCATATCTATTTGATTTATATAGGACTGTTACTTTGTGAATAGGTATTTTGGATATATATTAAAGTTAGAATTTGTTTTGTTGTCAAAGAGCCGCTCTATGGAATGGTGGTCGTGGTATCTATTAATGTACAGTCGTTATGGCATGAGATAATGGGATGGTTAACTTTTGGAGTTGGGAGATTACGCTCCACCCGTGTCGATCAACCGGACCAAGGCAATCGCTGCTCCGGCTGCTACTCCGCCCACGAAACACATTTGTATTCCTCCCTTGATGCCTGCGACGACGTTGTCGCGCCCGGACCAGCCGCGCACCACACATGTCTTGATGTATCCGAAGGCCAGCAGCGTGATTGCCATGACTCCGATGCTCATGTACAATGCCACGATCACCTGGTCGACGATGAAGTATGGGATGAGCGGGATGAAACCTCCCACGAAGTAGCCCAGCGCGAGTGTGATGGCGGAGATCCAGGCCTGGTTGCAGTCAGGCTCGGATTCCTTGTGGTGGAAGCTGACCAGGAAGTCGAGAAGACGGTCTTCAGAGGAGTGAAGGGACATGTTAATCTGGTTGATGACATCTTCGGGGAGGCGGTAGGAAGCGAAGATGGACTGGACGATGGAGCTTGTTTCGGCTGGTGATGTGTCGATGAGTTCTTTTGCTTCACGGACGGTGGTTTCGTAAGATTCACTGTTTGCTGTTAGGATTAATTGAGAGATACAGAGTCGAGTAGGGAACTCACGCTTCGCTCTTTGCACCGACATATCCTCCCAGGCCCATGGAAATGGCACCCGCGGTCAATTCGGCCAATCCACCAAGCACAACGACTTTAGTGTTTCCCAGCGCCGAGAGACCAGCACTCAGCGCAAACGGTACCGTCAAGCCATCTGATAAACCTAGAATGGCATCGGATACGATACGTGGGTTGATTCGAGATCGCGAACTGCTAGTGCTGGCGGCGGTGCTGTCGGTGTCGGAAACGGGAGATGAGGCGCGGAAAGTAGAGTAAGACCGTTGAGCTTCGAGGTCTTGCTCGGTCGGCAAAGCATCGGAATCTTCATTGGAAAGCAGTGGTTTGCCTGGTTTGGTCAGTCTAGCTCGTATTGAATTATCCATTGGTAGGCGAGCATACCATAAGGAAGGGCCTGTTTTTGCTTTTCGCTCGGGAAGAGCTTCTGCTTCAGAAATAATAGCGCCATTGTAGATTGACTGGGCTGCTGCGGGCTGCCTCAGGCCTGACGTCAGAAGCCGGAGTCGGTGGCCGAATCTAGACCCTCTTAACAATTCCGGTAAGGCTGAGGGATTCTCGAGAGACAGCGAAGCTGGACGAGACAAACAAAGCCCAGACGTGATAGAAAGATGCTTGATATGATTCGAGAGTTTGATCTGGATGACGGTTTTAGCTAGAAGAAAAATCTTCTGGAAGCACTGATATTTATAAGAAAAGTCCCCCTGTGGCAGCCAGAATCGACTTTTTCTGATTGTTCTCCAGACCCTTCCAGGCTGCCTTGGCGCGGGCCAATCACAAGCCGCGTAATTGTCAGCGGGTGTAGATCTCGGCGCAAAGCTCCAGCAGCCCCTCGGCGTTAAGCCAATACACCGATATTGATTGGCTTTCGCAGAGCACCGCTGACATTTACCAGGACACTGACTGGCCAGCTGCAGCAATGCTGCTGCTCGATTACGCACTCGGATGCAGACTTGTCGGTCTCCGATGCGGATTGAGAGCAGTCCGAGAGGGGGAATACACCGAATTCACCAGCAAAGTAGGTGTGGCGATGCAGCTAATATCTGACCAGGAGGCCAATGCTCAACACCACGTCTGAAATTTTCAGGGTGAGACGCGGCACGCTGTGTAGCATTGTGCACTTGTCTGTTGTTGCTGCACTGCTGAGCAAATTGACGTAAGTGAAGGGCGATCTGTTTTAGGGGTTTCGCCTTCATAGCTGTGCCGTGTCCATGGAGCTTGGCTTCGATGGAGCCAGTCTTCCGACAATCACTGTAATGGAGCTTGCCGGTTCGCGTTATACGTTCCATGGCTGGAATTGAGGGAAATCTTGGGAGAGAGACCGAGGATCCGCCAGGAATCTCTCGTTAAACTGCTTACTTGGGCTTATTCCTCAGAAAAACTATACGGATGAGCGTTGAGATACTCTCAATATTTGGGATTTCGTCCTGAATATCATTGAATCCACCTAACGAAGATCACTAAACGTTCTGACCCGCCTTCGACCGAGGTCTGAGCCGAAGGCCGCGATCAGCAAGAGCGCCCACTATTATCTTGGGTTTAGGACATTTAAGTTTGCGATGCTTCGTTACCAGTGGAGTAAGCTTACTTAGCTCGCACCGCAGCCCCTGATATGGGGTTCTGGAAACAAGAAAGAAGACATCTATCCGCATATAGAGAAGTGTTAACAAGCAATCATCGTCAGTATCCTTCAGTCGATGATAGAAACAGATGTTTTCAAGTACTAGTACCCGAGTAGTGAAGCGTCAGACTAGTGGTTCAGTCATTTCCAGTGTACCAAGTACTTATGGGATGGCTAAGCCTCCTTGTACCTGGGTCGGCTCTGACCAGTTGATGAAATATAGTATGTTTTAGGAAGTATGGACTAATAATGAGCATTTTGCAGTTCACTGGCTTTCTACACAGTAGTATAGGAAACCATGACTTAATGTCTCAGTGTGAACTACTCCATGTCAATAACAATTCCTTCCATGCCTGCCAATCAATACTCTGGCCAGTATACCTAACTTTAATCCAATATGGCCAAACCATACGTAAGCCAACCACTATATCATAGCATCGTCCTACCAGTATCCCTTGAGCACCCCACGGCAGTGCTCGTACAGGACATGTCCACCAACCCCCACACGTTAGGGCTGTGGAATATTGCCCACCGTACGTTTCATCAGACGCTGGAAGGCCGAATTGATGGTCTTATGGCATCAGCAGTCTCACATGGCGGCCAGATAATTGCAACTGGGTCTGATACAGGTATATTGAGGTTGTGGAACACGGCTATGAGTATGGCAGTGCAATCCCAAATCAAAATATGTGAGTTTCCTACCAGATTCCTAGCCTCTTCTCCTCATGATGACCTGCTAACATCGTGCTCTTACCTTGGCGAGGTCAACGTGTGGAATGTAAAGGTGGTTCGCTAGTTCACAGTCTCGAGATTTTTTACCCTTTGTCGGTAGAAATCTCATGCAATGGTGAATTTGTAGCCTCTTACGGCTGGAATGGCACAACTAAACTCTGGAACAGCGCTTCAGTGAAGTTAGAGCATCACCTGAATCGTGTTCATACTTTTGCGTTCTCTCCCAATGGCGAGCTAATCTCTGATTGGGGCGGTGGCATTGTACGCCTGTTGGATTTGCGGGTCGGCAATGGAGACTCAAACTATTTCCCATACTTCTTCAATTCTTTCTATCCATCCCTTGCCCCGTAAATCCAACTTGGTTCTCTTGGTCACGCTTGATGGCGCAACCCTCTGGGATTTCCCCAGAGGCACTCCACAGAACCAGCTCGAGGCTCTCAAAAAGCCCATTACTGGCCCTTTATTCTCTGGCGACGGCCGCCTTGTTGCAGCATTTGCGGGAGAGACAATCATGGTTTGGGACACAGGCAGTGGGAAATTTATTCGGGCGTTGGAGTTGGATGTTGACGATTCAGATGTTGAGTGTTACGTCAGTATAAAGGCTGCTTTCCGGCCGGATGGCAAGGTCATTACATGGGCCCTAGACAGTTCCAAGCTTGGGACCCAATTTCGGGGAAGCAAATCGAGACTTTTAACGGCTCGATTGAGCTGAAATCATTTGAAGTCTCCCACGATGGTCACCTGGTAGCTGTCACTGACCATGCGAAAGTCGGCATTCGTGAACTTGCAACAGGGAAGCACATCTATCTGAAAGAATCATATGATTTCAGTATGAGAATGGCTTTTCGCCGAACGATATGACCCTTGCTGTGCTTTCCAAGAGCTGGGGTAAGCTCACCTTCTATTTGTGGGATGTGCCATCGTGTGAAATGCATTGTTCCATCGATGGTGTCACTGGGCGCTACATTCACTTTTCCGAAAATGGCAATTATGTGAGCACTGTGCATGAGCTATATCACTTAGAGACTGACACCGATGGCCATCTGGTCTTTCTATCTGCTGTTGACGATCGAATAAAGCTGGAGGATGGATGGGTCTGCCTCGGGAAGGACAAGATTCTATGGCTTCCTCATGAATATCGACCAGTGGAAGGTTTCGAAGGGTTCCTCATTAAAGATCATTTTTGGATCACATTAGACCGTCTTTTGTTTATTTGTTTTGACATGTAGGCTAAACGAGATTCTGTTGAGATATTCACTCCAGCCAGAGTCAGCTGATCATTTACCTCCTCTTCTTCCTGCGTGGTCTCTGACCACCATCTTCTTGAGATCTGGATAGATCAGACCCATGTACTTGACCCTTCGTCTTGACAATATATATACACATTCTCACTACAACTAACCTACAAAACGATTGCCATCCCCAAAATCCCCGCGGCACCCATAATACCCGCCATACCCGTCGCCTTCGGAGCCGCAGGCCCAGCACCACCATGCGAAGACGAGGTGGAAGGCGATGCCGTTTCAAACGCCGTCGAAAAGTACGATTTCACATCCCCATTCAGACTACTGTACCACGATGGAATGATTCCGTTTTTCCACTCGCTCGCCACTGATGACCAAGCTGTCGGGTTCGTCATTTCGGAGATGACAGAGGTCGGAACTTCGGTGATCAGGTCGGATCGGATGGAGGTAGGTACTTCGGGGAAGAGCGTGGGCATTGTAGTGGTGGTAGTTGGGTTGACTCTGTTGGTTTGATGGATTGTTAGCTAGATATAGATGGGGTTGAGAGTAAGGAATGTGTAGGTAGGTAGGTAGGTAGGTATACAGGTTACTTAGAGGGTTGGACAAATCCGAGTCAGTGTTGTCGTCTCGCTTTTCGATGGCCGGGTCGGAGTCTGGCGTTGCTAGTGCTAAAGTTGATAGAAGTAGGACAGAGAGAGTTGTGAAGCGCATTTTGGTTTGTATAATAGTAAGGTATAGTGATTGTTTCGGGTGTGATTGGTAGGTTGATTGATGCCAGGGGGTAGGGGGGTATGATGTTTGAAGAATTGGAGAAGGACTGTGGGAGAAGTGAATTATATATCCAGGCTACTATCTATCATTGCCTTCTATGGACTACTTAGGCAGCCTCACTGCCTGCAATTGTACGTTATAAGATAACTCCGAGCCAAAAGCAGCGATCTGCGTTGTGTCCAGACACCGGGACCTGGATTTGTAGCAGTGCATACCAAATTTGGAGAGGAAATAGCAACATCTTCGTACTCAAATCTGCTTCACAGTAGACTTGTATCATAAATATAATGATATAGAAGAGAGAAGAGAGAAGGAAGGCAGATGCCATGCGTGGTAAATCGTAGGCATCTACTCCGTAGATCCGGCTCAGCTGCGCCGTTGGGGGTGTGGTTGAGTTGATCCCAAACACAAGGCTCTCCCAGCTCGTAACATTAATGACGTAGACTTTAGCATTATAGAAACTCCGTCGTGCAAAATATGCTTAACCATACGTAGTGGGCTTCTAGTTGCAAATCGGTTACACTGAAGTACTCCGCCAGATGGTGTGTTGTTGGGGCTGGCCGATAGCCGATCTCGCCGTAAGTGGAATAGGAGGGGCCACCCTCGACTGCCACTAGGAGTATCTATTCGCCTTATTTCTTTTCTTCTTCTATTCCACCTTATTCTTGAGCATTAGAGCATAACTTCGAGTGCTAATAATATCTCAAATGGTGGCTTATACTTGTTTTTGCTTCTTTCTTCTTCGTCCTTTTATTGCGATTTGCATTTTACTTCTTCCTTGTGGCAGAGCTACGCTTCCCATTGAGTTAGTACTATTGCTGACATGCCAGGTTAAGGCGCATATGCCAGAGGACAATCCGTGCCATTCTGACGATTAGCCGACGAGCATACACAGCAGACACTGCTATCTTCCGTCCTTGCCTCATCGACTGAACCTGCTCGTGCTCAACACCGATGTAGACCGTGCGTATCGCAACCACGATGACCCGACCGACCGACCCTCCGTACTACTACTACACTGTGCGTCCTCAGGCAAACAGTGCGGGGTGAAGGCTGGCTGGCAGTTTTGGTGTTCCCGGCGGCTCGCTTAGTGGCCAATCAGGACCGTAGAACAACACCCGCTCTTCCTATATAATCCATTGTAAAGAAGTAACTATTGCCTTCGGGCATTTGGTCAATTTGAAACGATACAGAGAAGATTAGCATGGCCCCTGCACTAAGGATGACACGCTCAATCAAAGAGAAGCTACCAGTTTTTTTTGCAACTTTTACAGACTTCATATGGAGGTAGGAGTGTCTTTGTGCAGTATATGGTGTTGGGGAGGTGACGGGTTCGAGTTGCGTCGGCCGCTGGCTTTTTCTTTTTTTTTTTTTTCTCATTCAACATTTATATATGAGTTGCTTCGCCTGGCCTCAATATGTATATATATATACTATGGTGCGAGTAGTAACACTCATAGTACTTACAACAATTTTTACTTTATTAATGTGAAGCTGATGTATTTACTTCAATTTCATGGTGAATATGCAGGTCAATCTGATATATATATATACAGTACTCCGTAGAGATCAATGATATTAATCAAAGCAACCAATTAAGCACCCCCCTCCCGCTTCGCATATTCCTCCTCCATTCTCTCCTCGTACAATCTCTCCGCTTCCTCCTTGCTCAAAGGCCTGAGATCCTCCGATCCCGTCGACAAGTATTCGGGTATCGTGCCACTGTTCTGGTCCATGCCTGTGCCAAAGGCGGACGCGCCGAGGGTATTTCCCGTTGCTGCGAGGCGGTTGGCGGAAGAATCCGAGGTACCGTCTGTGCCGTTGGTGCCGTTGGGCAACGAGTTGGTATCTTTGTGTGGCATTTTCAGAGGGATTGGATAATGTTTTGGTATCACTTTCTGTCAGAAGGACAGATGGGAGGGAAGAGAAGGGTTTATTTGAAGTATGATAGACAGGTAGTAGACATTGTAGGTAGTAATGGGATGCGATATTGTTTACTTATAAGCGTCGGGGTGGCGACCCAGCATCCGCAACGTCATAGGCCACCGACCGTGGCTTAGCAACCCAAGCACAGAGTACGAGCTCCCAACATCGCGGATATTATTGCCTTCCAGTCGGTAGTTACTTCCGTCACAGACTGCTAAGATCTTATTCGCTGGTACAATGCCACCACTTGAGAAGCTGGTCATCTACTGCTACTACGAAGTCCTCTTCTCCACCCTCGGGCCACTGGCCCAAGAACTGATGAAAAGGAAATAAAAGCTCCAAAAGGAGAAGTGCCAAAGAATACGCCTGTCAATGACCCGTAGGCCGTTGAACGGATTGTTCCGCCGCGCTGTGCAATGCAGGGACCAATCCGTGGTGAACCGCCTTCTTGATCGCAGTCACCCAAACAAGGTAAGTATGAAGAAAAGAAAGAAGAAAAAAGTCTAAAAGGGAGACGGGGGGACGTTGCTTATATAGGATTGGGTGGGGAACTACGGATGGCGCTAGCGGTAAGCGAGGTTGGGCGGTACGACTCGTTTCGGTATGTCACGTGAATACTATTGGAGGCCTCCTTGCATGCCAATACGCTTCGCTTTGAGGACCACACTGAAGGATTGACATGGCGAGAAATATGTTTGGGTTCTCTCCTCTGTATACTCTGCATAAACGAGAAAGGCTGTCGTCTTCGACGAATCCCAGTAGGTACACCAGGACAAGTATATCAGGTATAGATATCAGGAACGATGCAATACGAAGAGCCAAGCTATAGGAACAGTGCGAATTAATGGAAAGGAATTTCCAGAACATTAGATAGTGTTGTGAACTGTGGAAGTAGTCGGTATCCAGCATTGAGATGTGGTGTCAAGATAAGTCCTCGCTGCTTTGCCAACCCAACATAACGTTCATAGTGGCATAACTTAGTCTCTTCCTGAGCCTTTTGGGTAAACTGGAACAGCCTTATTCGGACTAACGACAGTCTGGAGCAGGACGAAAGGTTAACAGGAAAGTAACATATTCAAGGGGTTCAACTTACCTTGAGTGGTAGGCACCGCTCGAACCCCAAATGGCTTTCCGTCAAGGATCGGTCAGCTTCCACAAACGAGACATTGTACGAGCTAGCCAGTCTCTTGGCTATGGCCAGTGCGCAATGATTCGAATGCTCAATATCCAAGGCCTTCGAATTGATCATGTTCTTCCCCATATCGACCGCAAGGGCGAGCTTTCGGAAAAGATAGGTACAATGCTCGTCATGCCAGTAGCGCGTATAGGCTACGGGCACTTCCCCAGCCTCCAACCTCTCTACATCGGCGTCAATCGTCATCTTGGTGTCTAGGTACCACTGTCTGTCCCGAAAAGTGTCGTAGTCTTCCGTTGCCTCCGGAAAATAGCACTCTGGAGGAATCCATGCGCGTTGCATTGGCTCGAATAAACAACCTCGTGCTCGCGCTTCGTCGGGAGTCACTCCGCAATCGGTGTATGTATAGTGATTTCTGGTATGGCTCACCCAGAAGAATACAACTGCTCCTGCAAAGACAATTGCTAAAGGTGCATATACGAGAGGCTTGGTAAAAAACGAAAGGGAGAATATCTTCCGGCTTTTAGGCACCGGAGATTCAAGGCCTTCGGTAGATTCGTCTTCGTTCAAAGCTATATATTCACCCCGCTCCGGTTTGCTTTGCGAAGAAGCATCATGATCGTGCATCGGAATATT